AACCATAAATTCGAGTTCGTACCTGGCTTTTGGAGGCAAACGATATCGGTCACATTTGCCATATAGATACGGCCTTTCAGTTGAAGCCGGGCCTTCCCTTTCCCATTTCCGTTCGGTTTGTCTTTACTGGCGATCAACTTCGTCTTTTGCTTGTTCGGGTTCACATCTTTGCAGCAGAGGAGAATTCGTTCGAACAGGTAGATGTGGTACTAAACTACTCGCAACAGGGCAAGTACCCATCGTTCAGTTAGCTCATTTCCTCGACATATCTCGTTCATCTTTTTGGCTCCCTCATTTTATATCCTTTTCTTTCTTTCTTTCTTTCTTTTTGAATCAAACAAAAGGAGATGCGAACAAGGAGGTGTAGCATTTGGAAAGGCGACGCATGTGTGATAGGATAGTCTGAAACAAAAAAACACAGGCATGGGGGGACCGAGGCAAAAATGCAGAAACAATACTTTGAACAGAGAAAACTAGAAGGTCATCTGGAATACTTCATCGGCGCGTTGTGTACATGTAAGAGACGAAGTATTCCATCCCTCTTTCGCAACAATGGGTTGCTGGGATGGTATCCAAGGGCACTTAATGGGTGAAGTAGCTGTTATCGCCACATGGGGAAAGGAGTTTGTTATCAGGGGTGGACGACTGGGAGCGAGGTCGTTCGACCAATCTGTTCAACCCCTTCTTCTTCTTCACAGAGGGAGTCCTTGGGGCCATGCGATGGGGAGAGCGGGGTACTTCGTCGGTTGGTACCTCCGAGGCCAACGTCATAGAAGAGTTTTCACGGGTCCGAGGGGTTTGCAGGGCAGGGCTTTCCTCGTCGATAGACGGCAAACCGAACGAGGAGATAGCCCTTGAAGGGAATTCCAAGGTCATGCGAATGCCAAAGTCTGTGGGGCGCGCAAGGGTTTGGGACCAAATCCTGTCTTGAACATGGGTAATAGAAAGCGTACGAACCTCTCTGGGGGAGTCTTTGCCAGTGTCGCCCTTGAGCACTGTGAACGAACCGAAGCGAAGTAGGTCACCAAAAGATTCCACCTTGAGTGACTTCCAATCGTCGACACGTTCTGCAAGGTCACCGACAGCAGTAGCTAGATGCTCTTTATCGATTGCATCATTCGCCGAGTCCAAGACAGCCTGAATAGTATCAATTGCTCTGGTGATGTCAGCCTGTAGCTCCTCATTATCATCCTGTTTGCGTAATTCCTATCATGATCATTAGTCTGCGAATTCTGAAAAGAAGAAGAAGAAGGGAGGAGCTCTCACAGAAAGCATTAGAGGGTACTTGGTTAGACGTTGAAACGGCTTGACAAAAAACCCGTTCAAGGTGGCCGGCTGGGCAACCATCTGCTGCAAATCAAGATGGCGAGGAGCAGCTCTGATCTTCTCCCATTCCTTCAAGCACGCCTCATCACAGCGCAGCTGGTTGGCGATAAACGGCTCATATTGTTTGAAGCCCTCTTCATGCTGAATAAACAAATCGCCCCAGTTCTGCATCTCCGGAGGCAAGGCATAGTGCTGTTCCATCCGGATGAGAAAGCGCTGGGCAAAATCGAGAAGATTGTTGAGGTTGAGAAAAATCTGATGACTTGCGTCGCCGGTCAGGGCGTTGGTCTCCTCGAGTTCCTTCTTGAGTGCCTGGAGGTTCTGGAGATGATGGACATAGTCGCGTTCCGTTTCCAGAAGCTCCTTCAGAATGTGTTCTCTCTTGGTTAACTTGACGGTCCCCTTTGCACTCGAATCCTGCACAGAGGGATCCGCGGGCTTCAGCTGACCCTCCATCTCCAGAATGTCTAGAGTGCGGTTGACCATCTTGATGACCTTGAGAAATCCGGTTGTGCTCTCGCCGTACAAGTCGGTGATCAGAAAACAATCCTGCTGAGGGAAGGCCAGTTCTTGCAGACATGCCTGAAGGTACTTGAAGGTGGCCGCCTTGGGCCGCTTGGCCTCACCGACCTTGGAGGGATCGACCTCCAGCAGCTCCTTGGGCCCGACGGCATTGTAGATGGTGAGCAGAGGATAGCCCTCCCGGAGCAAGTTCCACAAGGAGGTCACCGGATTGGTGTTGTCTGTCGCGAGGTCGTTCTCCTCCATCTCCGCCAGGTGCTGCTCAAACCCGGGCACCTCTGCCAGTCGCTTCTTCAGGTTCTGGCAACTCTGGTAGATCGACTCGCCGCCGCGCCGGTTGATGATGTTGTCTTCGGCCACGGGGCCACCCATCATGGCCGTTTCAATCATTTCGACCGTCCCCTGACCTGACTCGACGTCGTCGTGAGAGCCGGGCCACCTAGCTAATTGGTTCAAAGATCAAAGGGGATCGACACGACACGGAACGAGAGGGCAGAATAGCTGGTTTGCTCCAGCTGTTTGAGCATCGATCTCTTCAATGCCACCCGGTCAGCGAAACAAGATGCGACGACAGTCGGACCCCCCCAGCCGCGATGCAAGGAAGGAGTGGCTGCGGTACGGAGTATCCGAAGCGACCGTGGAAGGAAAAGCCCAACCGATCAACCCAGCTCTCTCGTTTAGCCTCCTTTTCCTTTTGATTTCTTTCCCCCTTTTCCCAACCCTTGCTGCAGAAAACACGGTGAGCCGATCGGAAGAGGGATTTTTTTTTTCTAGGCGCGCCCTCCCAACGAGGCGGGTCGAGAACCGATCGGAAGGGTATTCTGCCGCTGCAGCCAGGCAAGCGAGCTTAGAGACGAGGGAGTAGTAACAGGCGTGCAGAGAGCCCTGCCGTAAGACTCCAGACAAAAGGTGGTGGTGGACAGAAAGACGCTCTGGGCCAGGCGAGAGGCCAAGGTCGAGTGGCCCGAAGTGGTAGCGCGCGTCCGACCCAGGAGTCAGGATGTGGGG